TTTGCAAGTTTGCAGCAGATTCCGATCAAGGACTACTGCTCCTTCAATGATGCATTCTCACAGCTCGTTTTTCTTTTAAACTGCCATGACATCAATTTCAGGAAGTTTTCCTAACGGACCCGGATCTCCATCAATCATGTGATTTGATTGTTGTTAACCATAGATTTGATTAATGCACAACATGCTCTAGTATTGAGAAACAGGTCATAAAATTTTTTCATGACTTCAATCGCGAAATCTTCAGCCCCTCAATTACCACCTAAGAGTGATGACGGGAAGTTTAGGATTTAACATATAATCATATTTACAATTTAATACATTTATATTTTATATGTTAACAGATACACCTTATTCTCCTACCGTTCAGAGGTGACCATAAAGCTAACAGATCAGCGAGCCTACGTTCCCATTAGGATCAAAAGTTTACGAGGATTGCATTAATGTTGAAGTAACAGAACGCTGTGCTTCGGAAAAGTTTGCCCAAATTTACGCCGTATTCATCCTTCAGTTCATAACAATTATTCTTGTACCTTCATATCATCACAGCTAAGCGGTATAACGAATAATATATCTCATCATACCTGCAAATCAAATCTATTTTGGCGAACGACAATAAATGCCACCTAAGTTGAATGCTTTGGGTGGTAAGCTTTAACACTTATTTCTGAAAAATACATGACGATACATCACCAAAATTACCTCTATCCTCTGACGCAGGATTGTGTTGTTCAGTTTATGACCTGAAATGAAGCAAAAAGTTTCACAAAACTCAGGGACGCAGATCCTCACAAGTAAGTATAAAGTATAACACGCCACAAAGGATATTTCTTAGCATACGGAATGTGAATTGTACATAAACTACAATCAGTGACGGATAAATGTCAAATATCCTGAGATTTCAATTAAGCTCAAAGCACGCGCGTATTAAAAAATGTACTTACGATTTGTGAAAATGTTAAACTTTATTTTTCTGGTATATTCTGTCAGTACAAAATCTTCATAAATTAAATTAAGCGTTGTTGCAACCAAGCCAACACTGAATATCGCTACGACCGACTCGTATGCAAAAGAAGTAACCTACTATGCACTGGTTGGACGAGCCCAGATTCTGATATCTGCATGAGTGTAACAAAGTAACGATAACGAAAAGTTTTCGGAACGATTACAGTTCGTGGGCAGGCTGACAAGTCAGGTATTGCCAACTCTGCCCGTAGAGTCTTTGTGAATTTGCATACGAAACTGCGGCAGTATTCTGTAATACACCCGACGTGGTAGAAAATGCAAAAGCTTGAAGTAACATGATGCTAATCGTTAACAGAGTTGCTGAAATCATTTCTACCTGACTCATTTAAAACAGTGTTCAAACAGACGAGGCATCTATTAGAAAAGCAAATGTACATACAAAGCATTACTCTACTCTGTCTCGTAAAGGTTCAACAACAGCAGCTTCTATTCTGCGCGATGCCACCATGCACTTTGGTGCGTACGTCCTGTTGAGCTGACTTAACCTCCGACATGTCAGGCCCAGTCGTCAAGCGAACACTTTCCAAAAACTGAACGATTTCCTCCATTCACTAAACCACACGCTCACTCAGTTGACGTAAATCCAAATTATCCCATAAAATATCTAAACATAATGATAGGTGCCACAGTCATGTCATTTTACAAATTGCCATTGCTTCTTATGACGGTGCATCATCTATCAGAATAACAAGCCATTACTTCTGATTAAGTTAGAATTATACGGACTGTGTTCATTGCTAAAAATACGTTCGTAAAAAGAATTCAAGTTCACAGTAACAAAAAGCACCGAGCACTAACTGGCTCTTACGCAACTAGCTTAAAAGGGGCAGGTACTTCTCACCACTACGTTCGGGTGTACATCTCGCGCCGGGAGGGGGGGAGCAAAATTCAGTTACTCGTCTTGCAGCAGCAAGTGATAGCGCAACAGGTCATCGCGGAACAAGATTCAAGGAGAAATACAGGCTTAAGGGCAGCACACATTAGAACCTTTTAGATCTCACGAATCATGCTCGTCGTCTACGCATTTGTTACACGGTGTCTGTGTGCATGCAGCCAGATCAAGCTTATTCCTCTATTGAAAAAGCCACAGTAGTGATGCTCTCATGTTCAACATTATGTTTCGTACGCATACAGTCCGACGGTTACTACAGTATCACAAACGTCTAGAAATTTTATTAAGTTCCAGAAGAAAATAACAATTCCAGATAATTTAATCACCAATATCACTATCCCTGTCGCCAATAATGTACATGAACTGAAATGCAAGTGCCAACAGACCGGTACCGAGGAAGTCGCCCAGCGCTGTGAGGTAGGGAATCGCACTATTATCAGGATCGATCTACAAGAAAAGCAGTTTTTACAAAATTTATTAACATAAGTAACATTTTCTTCGACATTTTAACAAACCGGACCAATTAAACTAAAGTTACTGAGGTTTCAACCTGTTTTTCTGGGTGAACACACAAACTGTCATGATTCTACTGCTGTAACGTTTGCGCATATTCCCGATCAAGGTAAAATATATGAGTTCCTGATACCAATAAAGTAATTTTCTCATGAATTTATTTGTATCAGATTCTGTTTTACACTTTAAAGATTATCTATTTAAATTTAACTTTAATCTGCATTTAAAACGCGTTGAGAAGCAATATTACGGGCTGTTCGTGCACGAAATTCAATCTATAGAATCC